GCGTGAGGGAGCGCCGCCGCCTCTTCCCCCGTGAGCTAGCCGTAAACGCGTCAATCGCTGCACAACAGAGAGAGAGACTTTAAACCTTGGAGCCCGTGGGGAAGGTCTCCCACTGCGGCTGCAAAGGGGGAAGGTCACCTCCTGCAACTTCCCAGCAACGTGCACCCTTGTGTCCTCAGACTGAACCGGGGCCGTTGTCTTTCTAGCTATGACATGGTGCACTATGGCCACTCGAACCAGCTACGCCAGGCTCGGGCCATGGGAGATTATCTGATTGTTGGAGTCCACACAGATGGTAAGAGGTTTTCTCAGCTTTTCACCTCCTGCTGCCTCTAGAATCGCCCAGCAACGTTAGCCCCAAGAGAACGGGGATATCCTGATACAAAGCAGGCTTCTTCCTGCATCTCAAGGGGCAGCAGCCTCCAAAAGAGAAGTGTACCTTCCCTGGGTAGGGGAGTCGAGTTGCCCCTTTTATGCTCTCTGGAGTGAGGGTTAGGTAGGTCAGAGCTTGCAGGCTTCGTTTGAGGGGTGATCTGTGTTCTGTGCTCTAAAAACAGTTGAACCAGTTGAAAAATCAGTCTCGTTTTGCTGGTGCAAACTGCAGAACTGATATTCCCAAACAATGACTGTGTGGAGAAAATTCGTTTCAAGCCCATCCAAAAGTTAAGTGCTAGGAACTAGTTCTTGCTACGAAGGTGGATTTTAAATTGGTTTATAGATGCGTATTTTCTAGCATGAACTGATAATAACGTGAAGGTATTGTTTAAAGGGGGAAATTCCCTCCGGGGGGCTTTCGGGAGGCACAGGTAGTCCCCCCCAGGAGGAAGTACCTGGATACAGGGAGGCACTGAGACCTTTTGCCTTCCAAGTGAATTCCAGGGCCCTTGTTACACACTTAAGAAATGCAACTGAATTAAAATCTCTTCTGATCTAGCTGGGCCTTCCTTCTCTAAGGCAAATCATTTCCAAGCAGAGCTTAGGCCCGTGGTGTAGTTCACCCAGCTGTGAGATGAGTGAGGCTCCTGTAGGTGAGAGTCTTTGTAGCTGCAGTACATGCTTCTAACTGGGTTTTTCTGTTTCTTGCCCAGAGGAGATTGCCAAGCACAAGGGCCCCCCTGTCTTTACACAGGAGGAGAGGTACAAAATGGTGCAAGCCATCAAGTGGGTGGATGAGATTGCTCCAGGAGCTCCCTATGTCACCACACTGGAAACCCTGGACAAATATGACTGTGACTTCTGTGTGCACGGTGGTGAGTGGTATTCTGAGGTGACAGTCGTACTAACGCAGGCCCTCCGGGGCTTGCGTGCTCTTGGTCTCCCTGCTGCCAACCGAGGAACGTTCTGGCCGGCGCTGGCCGACAGAGGGTACCTCGTGTATCTGCCTTACCAACGCCTGCGCTGGGCAGTCTGGCTGCTGCTGTTCTGGTATTCTGGAGAAATGCATCCATGTGCTAGGCACCCTAAGAGCGGCCAGATCTCATGGTTTTAAGCATCCCTTTCACTTACAAAGGTGAAGCGTGTTATCTGACAATTATCCTCAGGTTGCCCTTAGCACCAGCAGAAATTTGTGCATGCAGGAAGTAGTCATTTACAAAACTTAAATGTAAAAAACGCTGTTAAAAAGGTAAGTGTGCAGAAATACAATCATGTTTATAGCTACTTATCCTGGGATGAGATCAGATGTGAAAAGCTTCTCTCCCTTTATCCAGCTGATAAGCTGTTCAAGGGCTTAGCTGACCGTGTGGTTAGAGACCTGGTTCTTAATGTGACCACTTTTCAGTTTGTCGTCACTGAAGAAAAGCAGTGTTCAGAAGAAACAGAACCTGTGTACTCTGTCCCTTCCTGGGACTGCTTCTCCTGTTCATTCAGCCTCAGCCCCTCCTCCCTACCCCTCGGAAGGTATTTTGTTGCTTTAATCACGAGTGGTCTTTGTACTCATTTCACGTATCCTTCCTCATCTGATCCCAGCACCTGCTATCGATAAGGCAGTATTACATTAAGTGTAAATCATTAATCTTCTGTAAGATAGATACATTTTTTCACGTGGACAGGGTCATTATCAAATTCCTTGTTAACTTATATGCCTGCCCTGAACGTGGGTTTTGGGCCATGCGACACCTTACTAGATTTGGTGAGGGATTATGGTAACCGAGGAGCGCTCATGGCCTTTGCTCCAGTTTCGCTGCGTTTATCCCCTCTGCCAAATCATTCAGTACTCCTACCTGAATAATACCCTCTGCCAGGCTGCGTTTGCGCAAAAGATAAGTTTTGAAATAGCTGAGCTTGACTGGGAAGGTGATAGACAGCAAACCTGTGTTCTGCCTCTCTCCTGGCGCACAGAGCTGTGCTTGCAGCATGTTCTCTTCTGTCTCTGCGCCCTGAGGTGCCAGGGCGCGGGGTTTGAGAACTCCGCAGCTTCCCGGAGCGTGCCACCCAGCTGCATGAGAGCACTCGTGAGCTGCCAGCGCCCGCACTCTGAGCTGGCTGCTTGGCCAAATGAAAGCCAGCTTAGGTTTTCACTTGCGAAGATTCTAAACTATCACTAGAAGCAGGTGAGAGGTGTTTTTGTAGAGTGAGTTAGGTACCATGCCAAAGATGAACCAGAATTAACTCTGTAGAAGGATAGCTTGATGTCACTGTAGAAGTTCCATCACTGAGGGGAAGAACTGGCTGTTGGAGGACTGCTTAGTTGACTGAAAAAGTTGTCACATGAACCACTGGCTAATGCCAGTCCTAGAGAATTTAAAGTGCTTTTTAACACTGAGACTGATGGTAGCTGTTCATTGTCATTCAGGCAATGTTTCAGTCATTCCTGCTGCTGGATTCGCTGCAAGGGCAACAGGCTCAGATCTTCTGGACTAGCTAAAAAACAGTGGACCCAGATGGCTAGCGGTGTTGAGCATCCAGGGATATGCTTGTCTACACAGATAGGGTAGTCTTGCAAACCCTTGCATTTCCACGGGATGCAGGATGTATCCCGCATGTATGCACAGGGATTCGGATTGCAGGAGTTCTAGTCTGGTTTATGTGCTCGACCTGTTCAGCTACTGCTGTCGTTCTAAAACAGCTTTAGTGCAGGAGGGCTTGGGGCGCAGTTCTGAGGCTTTTCTCTCTCCGCAGATGACATCACCTTAACAATAGATGGCAAGGATACCTATGAGGAAGTGAAGACAGCGGGGCGATACAGGTAACCCATTGCTGCTTACCTTCTTATCCTGCTTTGCGCAGAGTTTCTGGGAGTTTGTGCCCTGAAGGGAGGTCAGATGAAACACAGCTCTCTTCAGGTCTCGCTTCTGTTATGCTGTAACAAGCAAGCTTCTCTTGCGCCCACCATTTGGCTTCCGAGAAGTGTCGCAGACTAGGAGCTGGCTGGCAGGGGCTTCCTGTTCCCGGTAGATGCTAGTTCTGGTCTTGAAGCCTCACTGCGAGTTAGCTCTGTTGGGAAGTGTGTGCAAGGTAAGTTTTCTTCTTATGAGCAGTTACTGTGGCGTGAGGAAGATGCAGAGGCTCAGCAAGTGAACACTATATATCAGGAGCAGGTAGAAGGAAGACTTTCTCAGGATGGTCCCTGGTTTGGATTTATCAGGTGTCACAGGTGTTCCTGTGGTAATGGTGGGAAGAGAAAGAGGCACATGCTCCTGTGGCTTCTGCTTTATCCTTTGCTTGTCTCCCTGCAGGGAATGCAAACGCACCCAAGGTGTGTCCACTACCGACCTCGTTGGCCGCATGCTGCTCATGACTAAGGCTCACCACAGCAACATAGTGAGTCAGAGGGCTTTGGGTGGGAGTTTGGAGCCCAGGGCATATGCCAGCTCTTTCCTTTTGCTATCCCAAATGGCAGTAGAGCTCCTGGGTCTGGCTCCTAGGTGCACGGAGAACTGGCAAGCTGATTATGGGCAGTGGCAGCAAAACAACCTGCTTATGTTTGCTTAAGCCTGTCTGAGATCACAGTGTGATCTCAGCCCACACTGCTTTGGAAAGGTGTGGGGGGGATAAAAGCTTCGATCCCTCGTGATTGGTGTGGGCTTCAGGAACATTACGGGAACTACAGGCTAGCCTACGGCTTCTTCAGGGGTGAAACTTCATAGTGTGGCCACATCGATCTATCAGCCCAGCACTGCCAGAATTGGAAAGTCCTCTTCCTTCCCACTGAGCTGCATGCTTCTGCCTTCTGCTGTCTCTCGTCTTATCAGACCTTTCTTGAGTCTCCTCAGTGCACTACCTGGTAGATAGCTAACCCAACCAAAGGAAAATAAAGGAAGTAGTGTTATGTTGGCTAGTGAGTTGAATTGACTTGGTAAACAAGTGGTCCAGTGAATGGAATCACCTAGATAACAGCAGGGACAAGACAAGGGACCCAGAAAAGCATTCAGGGGTAGAGGGAGATCTTGTAGTGTGCTGAGCTGTTAGATTGGCTTAGCCGTAATATGTCAGTTCACACCAAGATCTGGCGCAATGCTGTTAGCTGTCTGCAGGGATCTGAGCCCGTCTCTAGTGGAGTGACTTTGGAAGAAGGAGGGACGCTGTCCTGTTAGGGCCTCGCGCAGCTGAGGGAGCACGTAGGTGTGCAATGCTATCAGGTCTGCAGGTTGTGCAAGAACCACCGCAACTGTGTGATGCCAGGCTGGGATCAGATCAGGACACGTTTCATCTGACTCATGCTGGGACGTGATTCTGGTTTAGATATTAACTAGTTTGTCAGCATTCAGTGCCAGGGATCAATGGTGCGCAGTCTGAGCTTGGACTTCCCGGCACTTCTGCCACGCACAAGCATATTCTTGGTTGGACAAGCTATGTGAGTGCTTAAACATTTTGACTCTTTATCTCCCTTCAGGATGAGGACCTAGACTATCGGAAGCACACTGACAACTTTGGGAAGGTAATGCGAGTTCTGGTCGTGGACGTCTGGTTGTTGTCCTGTCTGAGAAGGATTCCAAATGTGCTTTCTGGCCTGTGCCGCAGGCTTGGTTTTCCCCCCACGTTTAGTAGTAACCTCAGTAAATGTCTGCCGCCCCCGTGAAGTGGCTGCCGTAGTCAGCGGCGTAGGCAGGTGTGGCCACACGGGGCCAGCAAGTGAGCTGTACTTCAGCGACGCCATAGAGCTGCTGCGCCCATTGAGCCTTTGCTGCTTTTCTGGCTTGCTTGTAAATCCTTTATTGCCGCTTCCTTTGGGACCCAAGTGCCCACTGTTTCAGCCTGAGTACAGCCTCTGTGGATGCTCCTTTTAGTGCTCATGTTTGTAAAGGCGTTGCATTAGGTCTGGGAAGTGTTCGTGTAGCAGGCACGTAGCTAGCATGCTGGACTGCAGAATTCGCGTGCCTGGTCTTCAGGTGGCCGAGCAGTCCTGGGGTTCTCTCCCGTCATGTCTAGCTCACGTCCTGGGCTACCTCTACAGAGCTATCAGCCCCTTTTTTTCCCTGGGTGTTGGATTATCCCTGATTAAGGAGCACCTGGACCTACAGCTTGAGTAAATCTTTTTTATTCACGGGGGGTTTGCTGACCAGGCGGAACCAGCCTTTTTGTTCTCCACCGTGTTGGGTTTTTGAGCAGGCTTTATGGTGCCTGCTGCTCCAGCATGGCTGTTTCCTGGTGCTTGGATCTGGGGAGAATATCTGGGCAGCAGGAACCTGCATGAGCCCTGCCAGCTGAGCCCGCTCGGCACGCTGCAGTTCTGCGGCTGGTCCTGGTCGCGGCCGAGTTGTCTTTGCTCTTTCAAGTCTTGCAGAGCAGATGGCTTTAGTGGGGCGAAGCAGGGGCCGGAGCGGGTGACTTGGTGGCTGTTTCCAAAACTGCCACACGGCGGGGATCAAGCTCCGTCTCCCGTTTCACGGGTGCTGGGATCTGGCCCTTGCTGGAGCTCTGGGTGATCCCCTCCCAGCTTGGCGTGCCGGGCCAGGCGATGGGTGGGCTGCCTTAAGGCTTGAGAGGAGCGTAGGTAGGTTGTGTGTTGTCTCCCTTAGCAAGCCTTGCCTCTCCTGGCAATCCGAGACTGCCCTGTTGCCTTCCTCCTTCCTGAGCTTTCTTCTCCGCATCTCCTTAGCTGGCTGTTGAGCGGACGATTGAGACTGTGTTTGATAGAGCAAAAAGGGCTTTTATGAGATTGCATAACTATTTGGTGCCAGGAATGTAGAAAGTCCAAGCTGCTAAGAGTTGTGATACTGGCTAGCAAATTAATTAAGGCTATCAAATTGCCTGCAGCTGCATTCTGTGTGTTGCCCAATCTCCTCCTGGAGCCTGAAAAGGAAACGTGTTTGGTGTGTGTTTTCCCAGGGGCCAAAGGGTCACAGTCCCTGGACTGGCGTCTCGCAGTTTCTACAGACTTCTCAGAAGATCATCCAGTTTGCATCAGGGAAGGAACCACAGCCAGGAGACACTATCATCTACGTGGCCGGAGCCTTTGACCTGTTCCGTATCCTTGACTCTGTTTTATCAAGAAAGTAGCATTGGTCTTTTTATTTGATGTTTTCATGTTTTGAGGCACCAGACCAGGATATTTGCCTCTTTCTTTCTTTTTTTTTTTTTCTCCCTTCTTTTTTTCTTTTCTGTAGGTGTGCATGTGAAGGAGGAGGCAGGAGTTCTTACTGGCAGCTTCTTAGTCACAAGACACTGAGAAAGGAGCTACAGCTCCTCTCTGGAGAGGTTTGTGGCTGTTGGAGGGTTTCAGGAAGACAGGTGGACACTCTCCACACTCTCATTATCACACTCTAGACCCTCTTAAGGACTGTCTGTCATAGACGAAGTGACTGCACAAGGCATCTGGAGCAGACACTTCATCCCTAGGACAGTCTTTGAGGCTTTGTGCCAGAACGTCTGCAACAGGTAGAGATTCTGGACAGAGGCAAAATTGAGTCCATTTGCCCAGAACCTGTGGAGCCTGAGGAGGGAGGAGGCAACTGTTCTTAGGACACAGGCAACGAGTAATGCAGAAATAAAATCCTTGGGATTCCTTTCTCCCATTGTGGTTTTTCAGTGCATGTGTTTCTGTCTTCCTTTCCCTGTTTTCTGTGTTGGCTTCGATTCCTTAAACAGGTCTACAGATATTGGGCATGTAGATTTCCTGGAGAAGGTTCACCAGTTGGCAGAGAAGCCCTACATCATTGCTGGGCTGCACTTTGATCAGGTCTGTGTATAATCTTGTCCAAAGACAGAGCAGCTTGGCCCCCCGTTCTTTCTGAAACGAGCGGGCTGTGCTCTGTAAGACAGAAAAGGGATGTGTTGGCCAATACAGGACTTTCATGTGGTGAGAAAGTGAGAGGGAAAGGGTGTTGCTTTGTCACTTTTCTAACTGTGCCTGGTGTTTCGTCTTAGGAAGTAAATCGCTACAAAGGGAAGAACTATCCCATCATGAACATCCATGAGAGAACACTCAGTGTCTTGGCCTGTAGGGTAAGTGCCTCTGCGCTGTTCCAGAAGTTGCCTGGAGCTGGGTGGTGTTCACCTGTAACCAACAATCTTGCACGAGTTCTTTGGTGTGCACTGAGAAGGCAAAGCCTGGGCTGATCACTTTAGGCTACCAGAGGTGCTGGTGTGCTCTCAGGAAGAATGCCCAGGCTCCTCTGTTGTCCTAACTAGCCTGAGCTATTGAACCCCTCCACCTCTGTTCCATCGGCAGTGAAAAGGCAGGATACCTTGCAGAGTGCAGAGAAAACCCTCTGCTCCCTGCAGCAGGGGAGAAAATTCCTGGGAAAGAATTGTGGGGAGGCTCAGAAATGTGAGCCCTGAGCAAATAACTTTTGGATTTGCTATATACACACTGCCGGAAAGCATATTCTTTAGTGGAACAAAAAGATGTGTGACAAGCAGTGGCTGCTAAACCCACTTTTCTGTTCCCTTATTTGTGTTCCTAACTCTATGTAACCAGCTGACCTGCTCAAGTCAGTTTAGGATGCAGGCTGGCCTTTGGGGTTTTTTTGTTTGTTTGTTTGTTTGTTTCAAATCTGGGCTTTTTACTTGGTTTCTTTTCTAGTATGTCTCAGAAGTGGTGATTGGAGCCCCCTATGCTGTCACTGCTGATCTGCTGGATCACTTCAAGGTGAGAGTCTTTGCGTATAGATGTACATGAAGATGTTGGGGTGTGATGTGCTCAGGGAGCTACAGTGGTGCAGGAAAACACGGGCATGTAGAAGAGAGGTGGTCCTGCTCAGCAGGATTGCGGGGAGCTCCAGATGCACTGCCAAGCCTGGTACGGGAGGGGTGTGTTTGCTGATCTCCTGGCTATGTTGCAGTGAGTGCAGTGGCAGGGAAAGTAAGTCCCTGTCACCTTTGGGATCTTGTCGGTGACTTTGTGTCCTTCACCAGGTAACACTCGTGTGTCATGGGATGACTGAGGTGGTGCCAGACAAGGACGGTTCTGATCCATATGAGGTGAGGTACTAGCTGCTGTTGTCTGTGCTTCTTTGTCAGCATTTGATAGATACAGCATGGCTTTGTTCATGTTCCTGAGCTGAGAATGTGTATTGCAGAGGATGCTACCCAGACTAGCTCTTGGCAGGTGATGCTGTTTTTCGTCTACCCCTGAGGGTAGCTACTTGGAGCAGAGCCTGTAAATCATTCACAACAGCTCCATTCTTTTAGTCACTGTTTTGTTTTGCCTGTTTCTGATGCCTTCATGGCAGAATGAGAAATCCTGTAATCTTTGCTCTGTGTCAGTCCTGGGCAGCCTTGCTCAGCTCTCATATAGGTGAAGCTTTGCTTTCAGCAGTTACTTACTCTGCCTCCTAGGAGATCGTTTTGTGTCCTGCCTGGCTGGGGGCCCACAGAACCTGCCGTGGCTTCTGCTCCCAGAGGTCCTGTGTGTTTTTCACAGCTGAGTCTGGTGTGTTTGTTCGCAGGAACCGAAGAGACGTGGCATTTTCCAGCTGGTGGACAGTGGCAGCAATCTCACCACGGATTTAATTGTGCAAAGAATCATCAAGAACAGGTTGGCTTTCTTCATCTCCCAGTTCTGTCCCATACTGTTCAGTCCAAGCTTGTCTTGAGGACTAATTAATGGGATGGAACAGGAAGAGAAGGGGTTATCTGCAGGCACAGAATCAGTGAATTGTTCTTTCATCTTCCACAGCCTGGGCAGGCTGCTTAAACGTGGATGTACTGGCCTGTACAGGAAAAGGAACAGCTAAACGCTACTATGTCAGAATGTGCTTCAGAGCACATTTTATTATTTTTCCTCCTCCTCTATTACTGAAAAAATGTCCTTGCTGTACTCTTGGGGATTTAGCATGTTGCTTCTTTCAGAGTTTGCTCTTTCAGGCCTGAGCCCTTCACCTTCAGTGGCCTTAGCTCAGGTCAGTGGTAAATTCGGTTTTGGTATTGTGGCACCAAGTGGTCTGTCCCAGGTCAGATCAAGCTACTCCAGCAGCATCTTCCGCAGAGGGAGCAATAAGTAGTGTTTGGGCAGTGTGGGAGCGTAGGACTTCGCAGTGATGGTAACAGTTGTGGGAAGCTCTGGGTGCTGGCTCTTGAAGAGGAGCCCATGGGTTCCTGGTGAGGTTTCTGAAGTACTCCCAGAACAAAGCAGCGTAGGAGAAGGCAGTACTCCCCTGCTCCAGGTGCTTTTAGGCTACTAGAGATACGGATGGCTGAGCATCTCATGGCACTTTGTGCTTGATGTAGGCTGGAGTTTGAAGCTAGGAACCAGAAGAAGGAAGCAAAAGAGCTGGCTGTGTTGGAGGCCATGAAGAGACTGGAAGAAGAGAAGCACTAGGCCAGCGGAGAGCCGATGTGCGGGTCGCAGAGCACCGCAGCCTCACCCTCTTGAGGGGCAGGCAGCTCTTCGAGAGGAGACCCCTGAACGGGGACACCGCTGCCGGCAATGCAGGATGCGCTGTCCTACCCTCTTCTGTCCTAGCTCCTCCTGCACTAATTATGCAGACATAACGAGTCAGGATCCTGCTGCCTAGTTTTTCCTCCGTTAATCAGCTCCCGTCCCCTTTCCCAGGAGAAGATTTGACAAAAGAAAAAAAAAGACAACAAATGGTTTTAATTACAACTAATGTTTTAACATGTTGATGTGCTTTTACCTTCTGCCATTTCTGGCTTTTAGTAGGAGGGAAATGGAGCAGCCACCCCAGCCCCCTCTGCGCCTCCATATTTGTCTGTCCTGACCAGAGTCTGCGTTCCAGAGCAGCCCTTGGGGCGGTGGTGGGGGCGGCTGGACAGACGGGCGAGAACGACGGCCTCCCTGGGGAAGGGGTACGGCACCCGCGGTTCCTCCTGCGAGCTTTTGGTTAGGGGCAGTGGGCCATCGGTGTGCTGGCTGTGGGAGGTGGCGACAGGCCCCGTGCTCTGGGGTTTGCCGTGCTGCCTCTGCACAAGTGCTCAGACCCAAAGCTACTTTGGGTTTAGTCGGACACAGCCCCTCTCAGCTGCAACTGGTGCCAGTGAGTCGTTTGCTGCCCCAGTAACAGGCAGCGGCGCGGCAGCTGCTGAGAGGGGTGTGTGGCACAGGGACCCTCGGTTCTGCAGTTTCCCTGGCGGGATGAGGGGTTTCTCCGCACGAGGTGTGGGAGCCCTGGGGGCTTTCGAAAAGGCTCTTCCTGTCGTGAGGCAGCAGGACCCCATGCTCAGAGCTCTGCTTGCTGACGAGTTACCGAAGGGAGGGACCTTGTCAGCTGAAATGTCACGGCTGTTTTCTGAGGGCTGACACGCAGGGCACGTGCCCTGCGGGGATGTGCAGGGCCTGAGGAAGATGGGTGCTGGGCTGAGCCCCTTTCTGCCTCTTACATTCCAGGGTGCTGTGGTGGGTGTCCTGGGCTGTTCCCTGCGCTGTGCTGGACGGTCCTTCCACGCCGGTTCTGTTCTCTCTGTTGTAAACTTTTGTTGCTGATCATTAATAAAATGTTGAAGAGTTGTGTGATGGTCTCTCTGGGACTCGAGCCCAGGTAGCAGAAGGGAGCCAGGACCTTGGCTGGAGAATCTTCTGCCACAGCTTTTCCTGGGGGGGAGCTGGGGAGAAGCCACGGAGCTCGTTGCCCTCGGGCAGCCCACCCGGAGCTCTGGGGTACAATGGGTTTGTTCTGGCGCAGGGGTTAGGGATCGCTCCAGCCAGAAGCCATTTGTTCTCACTGTGGGAGGAGGTTTTTGCTGAATTCACTGGAAAATTGACCGTGTGACGGGGGGCTTTGCTTTACTGTGTTCTGTGGCTTTATGCTTTCTGGACTCTAAAATTGCAGCAGAATTTGCACGGGACAGGTGTGTGTCTCGGCAGTTTAGCAGACATGTAGCCGTGGTGGGTATGGAGGGAGGAGGTGACCTGAATTCTGGTGATGGCTTGGTGTAGCGTGACGCCAAAGCAGCATCTCGAGCAGCCGCCGGGGGGCTGTCCTGGACAGGGGGTCTGTCCTGGAGAGGGGCTGCACTGGGGATGGATCAGCCGTGGAGCTCGGGATTTCACAGCTGCGTAGTTGCTAATCCTGGAGCCTATGTTCACATGCTGGCATTTCAGTAATTAACAGAATGTTTGTAAAATATTTTTATGTGTCATCTGTGACAAGAGCCAAGACACCCACCTGTGTGGGAACGCTCCTGGCCGAACACAGGGCACAGGGAGGGACTGGAGAGCTCGGAGGCTTCATCCTCTGCCCGCTGTAGCTGGAGCCCCTCGGGTGCCTGGGGCAGGAGTGGCAGTTCCATCCCTGCGCTGTGTTGAGCACGGGTGATGTCGGATGATGTCGTGAGTGTGCCCGCTCACCCTGGGCTCCTCCCGGTTGTCCCTTGCAGCCCCACGCCGCTGCTGAGACCGGGACGCTCCCACTTGGGAGGGAGGTGGGAGGGCAAGGACGGTCCTCGCTGCTCCCAGCCTCAGTGGCTGCGCTCCACTCCTCTGCTGTGTTCTGAGCTCTCCCTTCCCGAGGTGCCGGTGAGCTGCGAAAAGGCTCTTCAGCAGCGGGGCTGTGCTCTGCAGGGAGCAGTTCCGCAGCTGGAGAAGAGGAAAGGGCAGCCCTGGGGGTGCCGGAGTTGATCCCAAATTTCTGCTGCCCAAAGAGACAAGAAGGAAGATGCTTCCTTGCTAGGAAGGTAACACCAGTCTTGCCTTGCTGGCTGGTGGCTGTTGGTGAAAAACCCCTGCCTGGCTGGAGACGCTCCCCAGGGTCTGGGGAACGGACACCCCCCTTCCTGCGGGTCCAGGCAAGCCCTTTCTGCTGCTGCTCGCCCAGTGCTGTGCAGAGGCTGCTCCACTGCAGCTCTACAGCCAGGACCAGGGCTTTTCCCTTCCTGACCAGAGGCAACGGCTGCTGCTGCTGTTGGGGATTTGCCGCTGACTGAACCGGCCAGCTCGTGCTGCAGGCTGTGCCCCGGCTCCTTGTTCAGCTACACCCCAGCAGAAAACAGGGCTGAGATCTTCACTGGCCAGGGGTCTCCGCTGCCCCGAGCGTCTGTGGGATCAGGCCGAGCCTTGTCCCTGTCCCGGCTGCATTTGGGGTGTGGGAGCGGGTTGAGGAGCGGGGGTGAGTCCCAGCCCGGAGGAGAGCGGCTCAGGCCAGTGCTTTGCCTGCTGTGGGGTGCAGACGGAGCAGC